TTAAAAGAGGTTTTTTTTTTTTTTTTTTTGTGAACTACTTTGTTAGATTTGGATTATTATGGTTCTTTTTTTCCCAATGTTATGGCGTCGTGTCATAAGTTTAAAGTTTTGATTTTTAGGATATTGCTTTACAACCCATGTGGAATAATGCTGATTTCTTGCTTCTTAGTTGAGAATTTACCATATCTGTTTTTATGTGAAGTATTGCTGCTATCTGAATCATCTAAATAACATGTGCTGCTGTGCATAAGCAGTTGAGTTCTGTGCTGAGTTGGGGTTTTATATGTTCACTTTTTTTTCCCCTTTCATTAATCATCAATGATGCCTCGTCCCAATTCCCAAACTAGTTGGCTTCAACTATATGAATCATCTGTATTCTTTGTGGGCAGTGGCAGAGCCACAGCCAAGGAATGGGTTCAATTGAATCCCCTTGTAGTGGCAAAGTTAGTTCAAAGTTTGTTTTAAGGCACAAGTTCCGGTCTTTTGAATCCCCTTGTTAAAATATCATTGTCTAACAAAAGCATGACTATTTATATCCTAACCATCAACCTACCTCTTCCGTTATCCTAAGTTCACATAGATGGAGTTGTTTATCATTCATCGTGTTAAATGTTGGAGCGGAAATATTGAAACATTAATATGTGCACTTAGCTTTTGCACTTAGCTTTTTCTACTGTTTCTTTGATCTTTGTCAGAAGTGAATGTCTTTTGTGTTATACTTTTTAAAGGTCTTTTTTGCATCATTTTGTTGAATTGTGCTTTGCTAAGCTTTCAGTTTCTTAGTAAGGAATTCTAGTTGGATAAACTTGATCTTTTTGTGTTTCTTTGCTAGTGTAATAGTTGATGATCTTTCAATAACTACCATTCACTTCGAGGTGATTGTATGCTGAGCCAGTTTTTTCCACGATGAGAAATATTAAGCAGTTTAATGACATAAAGGAGTGCCGTGATCTTGGATAACTATTCATGCAAACAACAGTTGTCTCGGCATCTCTGAGATCTATCTGTGCATTCAGTTGACAAATTTCTTGAATTCATGCTATATGCAATAATAGATTAGCAACAGAAGGATATTTAGACTGTTTTGTATTTGTCTAGATAATTGAGTTTACTAATCATGCTCCTTTTGGTGGAAACCCTTGAATAGTTGAAATTCCATGTTGATGGACCATATTAAGTTATATGACAATGATTGAAGTGCAAGCTTTTGCTTACCACCATGGTTGCAGCTATGTCTTCCTGTCGGTCTTTTACCACTTCTGTTTTGGTGACAGCTAGTGTTTGGTTTTTTTCTTGAAGGAGTTAGTGTTTGCTGAACTTGTATTGTTAAAAAAGAAACATAAGAATAAGTTGCCCGTCTTTCTACGCTATTCTAATTGGCTACAAGAAGAATTCTTAAGCAACACATATTCTTTTTAATGTATGACGATTTGCTGTTACCATTTACAAGAATGGGCTGGCTATGTTAGCAAGTCAGCAGTTAGCTGAGCAAGGATGGAGCCTTGGATATCTCTGCTAGATTGGGCAGCTTAAGTATCCAGTTTGCTTGTCAGAAGTAGTTTCACCTGGATTCACATAATTCTATTTTGTAAGGAACTCAAATTTTGGTTGATTTACAATGTAATCACAATTTTGAACTCCTATGTTCTTGCAAAGTCTAAATAAGGGTTGGTTAAGTTAATTTGAAGTTTGCAGGCAACCATATCTCAGAAAGTTGAGGTATATGTGAGAAAGATGTCTTGTAATGAATGTAGTTTTTGCCATCTAGTTAAGTTACATCTACTTATGGATCTTGTAGCGGTATAGCAATTTGTTTTCCAGTTAAGTTTTTTTGTGTGATTGTGCTTAACATCTTTGAGAGGATATGAAGAAAAGAGAGCTGGAGTTTTCACCATTTGCCTCTAATGTCATAATTAATTGTCTAGGTTACTGAACTAAACCCCCTATAGTGTTGACTGAGAACCAACCAAAAGGCATTCATGTTGATGACTAATTCTAGTTATTGTTGGTTGTTTGAATGTTTCCTCTTTTTTTGATTGGATGTAATATTTCGGATTGCCGGCCCTGTCTGATAATCTCAGTGTTCCTTAGTTGAGGGATTTGCTTGTTCTTTTTGCTGCAATGATGGAAATTGTATATAATGAGCTTGTGGTGCAAGTGGCAGGTTAACTGCAGAAAATGGAATCTTCCAAAGAGACAGGCTGCCAAGCTCCAGAAGGCCCCATCCTTTGCATCAACAACTGTGGATTCTTTGGTAGTGCGGCCACCATGAATATGTGCTCCAAGTGTCACAAGGACATGGTACTGAAGCAGGAACAGGCTAAATTTGCAGCTACATCAATCGAAAACATTGTAAATGGAAGCTCAAGCAGTAATGACAAAGAGCCTATTGTCACTGGTGCGATCAATGTGCAACCGGGATCAGCAGAATTAAAGGTTATCTCTACAGAAGCATCTTCAGATTTATCCTCAGGTCAGAGTTCAGAGGTGAAGCCAAAAGTTGGCCCAACTAGGTGCACTACTTGCCACAAGCGTGTGGGTTTAACAGGTTTCAATTGCAAGTGTGGAAATCTTTTCTGTGCAGCTCATCGTTATTCAGACAAGCACGGGTGCCCATTTGATTATAAGAATGCTGGTCGGGATGCTATTGCTAAAGCAAATCCTGTTGTTGTAGCAGAAAAGCTAAACAAGATCTAGGAAGCCTCTATTGAATGTTATATGAACTGAAGTATGATGTTCTTGCTTTAAAATCTGTTGGTCTTTGGCCTTTGGCCTTTTGTCATATAAGGTGTCCCTTAGATGTCAATGGTATAAGATATCCCTGTTCAGAAAATGGTATAAGTGATGAAAGTAGGGCGCAATCATTATATCTCCAGTTTGTAAGTTGTTATTTTTGCTGGCTTGGTGGATATCTTCATGGACCTTGTAGTCCTTGTTCTTTCTCATCTTTATGTTCTGATTGATATGCTGTGCAGAATGACTATCCACTCAAAAGGGGTAAAAAGGGAAAAAACAAAAAAGTCAAGTGGGGCTCATGTTTGTGTATCCTTTAATCAATTTGCTTATGTGTTATCTGATGTTTGTGATCAATTTACTTATGTGTTATCTGAGGAGTATTTGTTATTATCAACTCAAAATATGTTGAGTGCTGTCACTTATAATTTCTCTTTGGAGAAAGTGGGTTTGGTTTTGGGGATGTGGAAACCTTGTCCTTGGTGAGCTTTGTGCTAAAGTGAAGGAAGGACCCCTATTTGAAGATTCTTCATTTTGATGTTGCTGCCTAGCTCTCTTGTTTGGAGGGATTTGATCTTCAGGTCCTAGGAACGAACAACATTTAGGTAAACCTTTCATGGATAGAGACAAACAGGTGAAGTATCATTAAGGTAGAGCTGTCATGGATAAATAAAAACCGATACCTGATGTATTTCATTCTCTTGAATGGCTTATATGATACTATGTATTTACTGTATGTGTCAAAATCTATCTCTACAATACTTGAGTCAAAGTGGCATTAGTGAAACATTCCCAAGCCGTCACGTGTCGAAGTTATTTAAGAAACAACGAAGGCCGTGGTCGAAGAGTCAGCAAGGGCTTAAGTTGAGGAGCCATTAATGATCGAGACCGAGTTTGAATATCCTTGACAGAGTTATAACGGTTAGTTTCAAGATAAGACATTAAAGAGAATATTCTAGTGGATATTATCTGCACTTGTACTATTAGGGTTTCTAGGAACATGTTAGAGACACAATGACAGGGGATCTGAGAAATTCACTTGTAAAATATACTTTGACTTTATAGAGAGAATCTGGTCTCATCACAAACACACAAAAATAACTTTTTACTGAGATTTTTGCCTACACTTTTCTGCTGGATTCGAGAATATCTTGGACTCAAAGGCTTATCCATCATTCTTGATTGTCAGAAAGAATATTCATTGATTTCATCCTTTCTCGGGTGACTCTTTTACATTTATTTACATAAATATCATTATTGCTATTTAATGCTGCATTACTTCTGTTTGGGTTTTTAAATATTGATTATTGTATATCGTCATAGTTTTTTGGAATAGATTTATGTGCTATTTATCACACTACTGAGAATCTCGTCTTTGGGACATTATTATTAACTAAGATCAACCCTTATTTGTATAAATTGAACTAGTTGAACCAAGATCTATTTTTTTGGTCAAACAATTTGGCGCCATCTGTGGGGATTTCTTAGTTAATTTTTTAGTTTCCTTTAGATCTACAGCTAACCAAGTCACTAACCTCACAAACCCCAAGATCTTTTTCTTTCGTTGTACGTACAAAAACCTACATGATAACCTCATGAATGCTATCATCGAGAGTTGTGAAACCCTAGGCGAAGACGTGATGCCCACTGCCTTCCCTGGGCGCGAGAGATGTCCTCCCCCTATTGTAGCATAACAAAACCCAACGGAAAAGGAGCTTCCATGTCCACAAAATAAGGGACACCACCAGTTGTGAAGAAGCTCCTCAGAGCATGGCTAACCGATACGCTGGTGAGCATGCTCAACAGGCCCACTCCAGGCACGATTACAGAAACCCTAAGAGCATACACTATACAACGAACAAACGAACAATGCAACCGGTCAAACCCTCAAACAACAGGAATGACTCACAATATTACTAACATTGCAGGTGACAACGCCATCGCTGCCGTTCTAAAGAGGATAGAGGAAATGGAGAATGAAAATAAAGCACTCTGAGACCAGATGAAAGAACACCAAGAACGAGTCGACAAGATACCTGCCGCCCCTAAGTTTCTGCCAAAAAGGGACACCGGCAGGTTCGTAGAGCAGCCATACAATGACGAAGCAGCCCCACATGCCATACCAAAGACCTTCAAAATGCCACCCTACCTCAGGATATACGGTAGAACCACCGACCTTGAAGATCATGTGACCCATTACATCACCGCCGTGAAAGGCAACGACCTCGCCAAGGAACAAGTGTCCTCTATTTAGCTAAATAAGTTTGGCGAGACCCTCATGGGAGGGGCACTAACATGGTACTCATATTTACCAGCCCGTTCCATAGAAACTTTTGAGGAAATGGCCGACAAGTTCGTAACCGCACATGCTAGAGCCAAGAAAGATGAAGCGAGAGTAAACTACATATTCGCTATCAAGCAATCCTTGGGAGAGGGAATGAGGGACTTCCTCGCCCAGTGCAACAAGGTAAAGATGACTCTGCCGAACGTGTTCGAGGGGATAGCGGTTGCAACTTTCCATAACGGATTGGTAGGGATGGCTCAAGAGCAACTAGAAAACTGTTGAGACATTGATGAAATATCCTCCAACCACTTGGGACGAGATCCATAATGCCTACTATGCCGAAGTCCGAGTAGATGAAGACAAACTCAACGTACCAACTCATCGGCTCATCTCGGTACAAGCCAAGTCTAGGAAAGAACAAAGAGACAACGTCATAAGGCACCACCCGGTCTCGCGACCCAACAGGGACCGACACCAACCATACGTCAGGGCTCCCGCTGCACCTTCCCTCTGCTATGAAGAAGGCACATCCAGGCCAAGGACTAGGACTCACCGAAACGAGAGAGATGTGCCCCCTTATTATCTACTCACAATTTTTGTGTGTCACCTACAAAAATAGTCTATGCCCTTAAGAAGCTCGGAACAAAGGTAAAGTAGCTGCCGAACATGAGGTCTGATCCGAGCACCAGAAAATTCGACGCCCTCTGTGAGTTCCACCAGGAACGTGGGCACAAAATCGAAGATTGAATTTCCCTCAGTCAAGAAGTCGTAAACATGTTGCAGCAGGGATACCTCAGAGAGAACTGCTAAGCAACAAAGGGAGAAATAACTTTGGTAGAGGATGGAACACCAAGGTCCGCCGGAGCCGCCATCACTGTCACGACCCAAATCTCCCTCCGTAAGATGTCGTGACGACACCTAGTCTCTAAGACTAGGTAAGCCTAACAATTGCGGAATAACTGAAATAATAACAGAAACAATGACTAAACTTCAACAAATAAAATGTATAACTGAAAACTGCCGCTCGGCATGTACAAGTAAAATCAATAACTTCGAGCATAAGCAACTCCCAACACCCGATAGTCACAAGTCACAAACTCTATGGAAGTACTAAATGTCTCTATACATCAATGTCTAAGAGAAATAAAAAAAACAATATAATAAGGATAGAGGGGGTCTTCGAGATCTGCAGATGCTGGCAGATATACCTTGGAGTCTCCAAGAAGCAGCACATACTCTCAACTAAGATCGGGGCTAGTTAGATGTACTTGGGCCTACACAAAAACATGTGTAGAAGCGTAGTATGAGTACACCACAACGGTACCCAGTAAGTGCCAAGCCTAACCTCGGTAGAGTAGTGACGAGGTCAGGGCCCTACTAGAATATAAGAAATAGGGCAGAAGGTGAAATGATAAAAAGGAATGGCAGATAAATGAAATAGTAAGAATGTACGGAAAGGCAACAACTCAGGAAAACAGGAAGACAATTACAACACATAAGAAAAAGAACATCTTACAAGTTAAGGAACAACATCAACAATAAACAACACATCAAACTAGGAAATCAACAGGGGCGCTCCCGAGGTAAAGCCTCGTAGTTCCAAAAGTAAATATCTCACAACGGCACGACAGAAACCTCGTGCCAATAACACTCCGCACTAAAGAGACCTCATGCCACACAACACTCCGCACGGAAGAGACCTCGTGCCACACAACACTCCGCACGGAAGAAACCTCGTGCCACACAACACTCCACACGAAAGAAACCTCGTGCACAACACTACGCACGGAAGAAACCTCGTGCCACAACCAAACGGTCATCACAACAAGAATCACGAAAATCAACACGTAGTAAATGAAATACTGATAATACAAGCAAGCAAATTCTACAGTTAAAGAATGAACATGAAATCAAGGAAATATGTAATTCAACTAAGCATGTTGTGCAAATTTCAATTAAGAGATGAGGCACATAGAAATGTGAATTTTAGCTAAACATGATGGCTACACGGCCTAGAACAACTAAATTAAGGAATAAAAAGAAAACTACTTAGCAAGTACCGAAATTTCAATATTCAGCCTGTGTACGCACTCGTCACCACGCGTACACGACACTCACATACCACAAATTATTACAACAGTACCAAATCCTAAGAGAATCACCCCACACAAGGTTAGACAAGTCGCTTACCTCAATTCAAGCTCAATCATCCAATAAGAATGCCTTTCCCTCGACTTTCCGACTCCGAGCGGTACAAATCTAGCCAAAAGCAATTATATACTATAAATATTACTATAAGAAACTAATCTAATTAATGAAATCAAGACTTAAACAAGAAATTAGAAAATTGCCCCAAAAGGTTGACCCAGGCCCACGTCTCGAAATCAGATAAAAGTCATAAAATCCGAACACATGTTCAACCAATAGTCCAACAATACTAAATTTACCAAAATCCGATACCAAATCGCCACTCAAATCCTCAAATTAAACTCTCCAAATCTCTAGCCTCAAACTCCTAAGTTTCACCTTAAATACACACAAACTAGGTGGAAAATTCAATGGGGAAACAAGATTATTGAATAAAAATGATCACAAGTGGCTTACCTCAAGAAACCCCTCAAATATCCTCTCAAAAATTGCCTTAGACCGTGTTTGCAAAGTCCAAAATGAGAGAAATCACGAAACCCTTCGGTTTTAACACTGTCCAGTCAAACCGCATTTGTGATGCGAAATTCGCTTCTACGGTACCGCTTTTGTGATGAAACCTCCGCATCTGCAGAGGTCACTTAAATTCCCAGATATTTCACCTGCGCACCATTATCTGCATCTGCGGAAGCGCCTCTGTGCCTACTCGTCCGCTTCTGAGGAAAAAAAACCTTCGCCACCTCAGCTCCTTCACTCTCCGCTTATGCGATCGTCCTATCGCAGGAGCGACTCCACTTCTGC